TCCCCGGATCCTAGCAAGACAGCTGCAGCTGTGGCCTGGGTTGGAAATCTTATCTTTGCTTACTTCTGATTTGTGCATAAGCAACAAAAACTAGATCTGGTGGCTGGAGGGATGAGGGAGGCTAGCGGCGTGTCTTCCCAGTGACCACGAGGTGGCTCACAATGGCCTCAGGACTCCAGCTCAGCGAACCTGGTGCCCTGGCTGCTGTGAGCACCAGCATGCATGTGCATGTGCTCCCACATAATTTAAAAGGCCAAAGGCCGAGAGGGGAAAAAAAAAAAAAAAAAAGACCAGATCTCATTCTGACTTAGACACTCTCTGCAGCTGAGGTAAGCTTGAGCTTCTGATCATCCTGCCTCCACCTCAGAGCACCAGGATTATTAGGTATGCGCCTCCACATAAGGTTTATATGGTGCTGGGACCAAACACAGAATACTAGGCCAGCACTGGATGGACCGAGCCACACCTAGTCCCCATTTTGGACTTGGAGCAAGGGTTTTGGTCTTCAGTGATTGCAAAAATACTTCACTGTTGATTATTTCCTACAGAGAAATTGATGTTACTTAAAACAAAACAAAAACAAGCAAACAAAATCCAGGAGTAAATGGTGCTAGGGAAATGGCTCATTTGGTAAGGGTCTGCCATACAAGCTTGAGAACTGGAGCTCAGAACTCCAGAACTCACAGAGGAAAGTCAGGGATGGCTGTGTGCACCTGTAGTCAGGCGCGGGCATCTTGATGTCATTTCCGGTTCACCAGGAAACCCTGTCTCATAAAATAAAGTGGGGCCTGGCGGGATGGCTTCCTGTCAAGCTTGTCTTCCAGAGTTTGACCCTGGAACCCGTATGGTAGAAGAGCATGTGCGCACACACATGCAGAGAAAGTAAATTATTGTAACTTAAAAAATTAAAAGTGAAGGTGACAAATGACTAGGGAAAGAGACCCAGAGTTCACGTCTCACCTTCACATATACATATGCATCTCTATCTGTGCACACTCCACACTAAAAAGTCATACAACACATGCACACACACCTATAGCACACATACATACTAAGTACATATATGTAGTGTATAATTTGGTGTCTGCAGGTGTTGGAAAGGACCCTGCTCTTCTCCCCCCCCCCCCCCCCGCCCCAGCCCAGACAAACGTCGGTTCATTTCCATCAAGTCCACAGAATGAGGTTGACTGAGAAGTTATGGACACTTAGGTGACATGGGGGCTTCAACTCCATTTGCCAACCTCAGCTCTGCAAGAAACATTTGGTGGCTGCAAACAAGGCCAAAGGTATTTTCAAGTTCCTGAATCTCAGCTTTGTGGTGCGCCTGGACCCCTATTCCTTCTATTTCTATCCCCGCTCAGCTGTGCTTAATTATCTAGTTAATTGCTTAGCTCACTCATTAAAAAGCACATAATTAGCACAGGTTGGGGGGGGGAGTAGGGCGATGCCTGGTGTGGGCAGAATTCTGGAGAAGGGCAAAGGGGAGAGAGAAGTGAGCATGTCTATGGCCTTGACTTTGAGCAGCCTGAGGCCATGCCTCAAGCCAACACCAATGCTAAGGAAGTGCATATCAGCAAGAACAGGATGAGTTAATTGTGTTCGGTCTACCTGATTTCACAAATAGATAAAGTACCTGAAAAGTAGCTTGCAAAACTAGGAATGCAACCTCAAAGGCTTTACGTACATGCAAGAATGTATAAATGGAGATACTAGGCAGAAACACAGTGAACAGTGAATCCCAGGCCAAGTGTCATGGAGCATGCCTGTAATCCCCAGCACTCAGGAGGCTTCTGGGGTGGGGGGGTGGAGCCTGAGTTCCAGGCCAGCCTGAGTGGCACAGTGAAGCCCTGTCACAAAAGAAAACAAAAACCAATATCACTCCAACAAAATGAAACAATGCCCACAAAGAGCACAGCTTGGGGACTGGCTTTGTTAGATAGGATTTCTGTGCAAAGGTGAAGACCAGCATTTAGAGCCCCAGAACACATGTAAAAAGCTAGGCACAACAGCCCACATCTGTAGGGGACAGTGTAAGCCACACCTGTTAGAAGCTGGCTACAGCTGTGCCTTACACACATCTCCAACTCTAATGCTTGGGGTGGGAGAGACAGGGCTCCCTTGAGTTTCCTGGTCAGCCAATTTAGTAAAACAGTGAGCTCCAGGTTCAGTGGGAGGCCCTGTCTCAGAAGATAAGGTGGGTAGCCAGGCATGGGGCACAGCTTTAATCCCAGCACTTGTTAGGCTGTGGTGGTTTGAATGAGAAATGCCCCCTCTTGGCTCGGCACTGAAAAGCTTAGTCTCCAGTTGGTGGCACTGTTTGTGGAGGTTTAGGAGGTGTGGCCTTGTTGGAGGAAGTGTCCCTGGAGGTGGACTTTGAGAGTTAAAAGACTTGTGCCTAATGTTGATAGTGCACTCTTTTAATCCCAGCACTCAGGAGGCAGAGGCAGGTGGATCTCTATGAGTTCAAGGCCAGCCCAGTCTACAGAGTTCCAGGACAGCCAAGGCTACACAGAGAAACCCTGACTCAAAAGCTAAACAAACAAAAGCCTGGTGCCTTTTCAAGTTCATTGTCTCTGCTTTCTCCCGTGGTTCAGGACATGAACCCTCACCTTCCTTCCATCCCAGCCTCTGAGCCCTCACCTCCTGTCCCAGCCTCTGAATCCTTACCTCCTGTCCCAGCCTCTGAGCCCTCATTTCCTGTCCCAGCCTCTAAGCCCTCACCTCCTGTCCCAGCCTCTGCCTGCTGCCTGCTGCCTGCTGCCTGCTGCCATGCTTCCCTGCCATGAAGGACTCTTACCCCTCAGGAACTGTGAGCCAAATAGATCCTTCGTTCTGTTAATTGCCTTGGTTTTATCACAGCAATAGAAAAGTAACTAATACTGTCATAGCGTCGGGTGGATCTGTGTGAGTTCAAGGCCAGCCTGGTCTACATAATGGTTCCATACAGTCGGGACTACAGAGTGAAACCCTGACTCAAAATTTTAAAAATAATTTTAAAAGTTGAGGAACCAATGAGATAGCTTGGCAGTTAAGAACACTTGCTGCTTTCCCACAGGACCCCTGTTTAGTTACCAGTACCCAGGTAGGGTGGCTCACAACTGTCTATAACTTTAGCTCTAGGGGATCAGATGCCCTCTTCTGGACTCTCAGGGTGCACATGTGAATGCTCGAGCATGCATGCTCACACGCACAATTTAAAAAAATACAATGGAGTTTTACAGGAATACCTTATGGCAACCTCTGGCCTCCACATACTATGCACAAATACTATATATACACACATACTCTATCTCATACATACATGTGTACACACACATGTACAAGCACACATAGTCACTATACACACACTATAACACTCACACATATACACACATATGTATATACTATACACATACTATATATACACATGCTATACATATGTACACACTATACATACATGTATGCAATACTATATACACAAACACAATATGCATACTGTACATGCAACACACACACTGTACACATACATTATGCATACACATCACACATATACATGTACATACATGCATACACATATACAAACTGTAAACATGAACATTCTATGTACACATACTTGCATACATACATATGCACATGCACACACACTATACATACACATATACACATAGACATACACCCATGCACACACTATACATACAGACACACTATACACACACACATATGCACTATACACATACACGCACTATACAAACACACATACGCACACATACACACATGTACATACACTCACTATACATACATACACACAATATTTTAGGCATTCTGAGTGATTGTTTTTCAAGTCCACCCAACTTGAATTTTTTTCTTAAGTTTGAGACAGGGTCTTATCTATTCCAGGGTAGCCTTGAAGGCTGTAGATAGCTAAAGATGGCCTTGAATTTATGGCCATTTTTCCTCTGTCCTCTGGTGTGCTGGGATTAAAGGCCATTACTCTTGCTTTGTCAATCAGGTCTTTCGGTAATAGAAGTTTTTCTCAAGTGTTTTGTCTCTGTTAGACTTGATCAAGTCATTTTTTTATGACAGTGGTCTGAGAAGCCCTCCACTGGGTGTCTACTGACTTCTCTTCCAATTTTTTCTCTGGTATTGGAGGCTGGGATGGTGAATGTGTGCTGCCTCCAGTGTGAGCTTTTGCCTGCTTTCACAGAGAGGTTTTGTGGCTTTCTGTGTGTCTCAGGCTGTAGTATGCTTTGCATGTTAATTGCTTGGCTTTGGAGGAGGGCTGTGGTTACTACAGTTTTTTAGGGAGAACTCCCCTGCACCAGGGGCCCTGATGATTAAGGAGCCTCTTGTGTGTTTGCCTGCTTGCACATCTGTATACCATGTGCTTGCCTGGTGCCGGTGGAGGCCAGAGAGCCCCAGGCTACCCTCCCTAGTGGTGCAGGCTTGGGGCAGCCACTCTGTGTCTCAGCATTGCCCTATCCTGGGTCCCCGTGGGTAAGTGACTTCAGAGTTGTGAGACTGTCACAGCCTTCTTTCCAGGTCCCTCTCTGTCAGAATGGGTTAAGTGTTTCTAAAGTGCAGGGGAGAGCTTAGCCTTGGGGCTAAGAAGACCTACGACTGCCCCCTGACAGCAGCCCCAGAGGAACTGATGTCTCTTCTGGTCTCTGAGGTTGCTATATTCATGTGCACAAACCCACACACAGGCACACACACATACACATAATTTAAATAAAAATAAAATATTTAGGGCCTGGAATGACAGTGCAGCAGTTAAGGGCACTTACTGCTCTCCCAAAGGACCCAAGTTCAAATCCCAGCACCCACATGGCAGCTAACAACTGTCTGTAACTGCAAGATCTGACACTCTTATACAGACTTATCTGTAGGCAAAGCACCAATGCACATAAAAGTAAGTAAACTTATAAAAATAAAATAATTTAGTGTAGGAATGGCAGATGTCATTTGATTTTGACAGAATAAAATGCATACCATCTTTAAGTTCTTGTCTCTGTCACCCGTAGCTCCCCATCTGGGCCATCTGTCCGTGTGCCATCACCTCAGACCAGCAGGATGGCTGCCAACAAGGGCAAGAGCCAGGGCTCCCTGGCCCTTCACAAAGTTATCATGGTTGGCAGTGGAGGAGTCGGCAAGTCAGCCCTGACGCTTCAGTTCATGTATGATGAGGTAAGAGATGCCAGCACACCTTCCGAAAGTGACTGTGCCTGCTGTGTCATCGTGCGCGTCCGCTTCCTCGGTGTTCAGTGTCCATGTCCCCCTTTGTCCGTGGAGTTTTTGAATAGCTTCAGGGGGAGGAAGTCTCAGCAGAAGATCCTGGCTGCTGATACAGTGGTGGTTTTAGCTGAGCAGAAATGGGAGGCGTCTCTCTGCACACTGTATTTTCAGTGTTATGTGTGCTTTCTTTGTGACAGGAGCAAGAGGAGAGAGAAGTCTCTGTGTAGGTGCTATAACTTAAAGGTTTTTTATTATTTTAATTTCTGTGTATGCATGTGGGGGTGTAGTAGACTGTGGTTGCCTTCAGAGGCCAGAAAAGGATGTCAGAAGTTGTGAAGTTGCCCAGTATGGCTTCTGGGAACCAAACTCCTGTCATTTCCAAGAGTAGCAGGTACTCACCACTGTCTCTCCAACAGCCCAGGCTGCCTTGGAACTCACTGTAGCCAAGGATGACCTTGAATTTCTGATCTTCCCTCCTCCCCCTGGTGGGTTATAGGCGTGTGCCCCCTTACCTGGTTTCTGAGGCTTTGGGAATGGAGGGGCTTTGTGTGTGAGAGGTGAACACTCTACCAACTGAGCTATTCCCCAGCCGCAGGTGCTGTGGTTTGAGTCTTAAATATCTCCTAAGGGGCCTTGTGTTGAAGAACTAACTGACCCTTAGCCTACAGTGCCTTGGGAAGTAGGGTTCAGCCAGAGAAAGTTAGGCCATTGAAAGTGTCCTTAAAAGAGATTGCGTTCCCAGCCCCTGCCTGTTTTTTTCTCAGCTTCCTGGTTTCTGCTGGGTGCTTTCACCACGGTCCTCTGCCTTACCACAGGCCTCTAAGAACCATGGAGTTTGAAAACTGAAACCATGAGCCAAAACCGAACCTTTTCTCTTTGATTAATTTTCTGTGGTGTGTGTGTGTGTGCTCGTGCTTGTGCATGGGTATATGTGTGTGTGTTTGTTTGTGCACATGGATATGAAAGCCCAGAGGACAACCTTAATTGTCGTTGTTCAGGAACTGTCCACCTTGATTTTTGAGATAGGATCTCTGCCCTGAGGCCAACCTGACTGCCCCATACATCTGGATGGCTTGTCTCCATCTCCCAGCACTGAGATCACAAAGCACATAGAATGGCCATGCCCTGCTTTATATAGGGGTTCTAGGGATTGAACCTAGGACTTGTGGTTGTAAGGCAATCACTTTTACCAGATGAGCCATCCCTCCGACCCTGGTCCGTCTTTTTTTTTTTTTTTTTTTTTTTTTTTTTTTTTTTTTTTTTTTGACTGTCCTGGAACTAGCTCTTGTAGAACAGACTGGTCTCGAACTCACAGAGATCTGCCTGCCTCTGCCTCCAGAGTGCTGGGATTAAAGCTGTGCCACCACCACCCGGCCCCTGGTCCATCTTAACACTTACAACCAAATTTCAGTCTGGAGTTTAGGTGGAGATAAATCACAGAGCTGTGGAGAACCAGGTAGAAGATTTCTGTAGCTCTCTGGGTGATAGAGGCATTGTGCCAAATCTGAGGTCAATTCATGCAAAGCCCGAGTCCTGCAGACACAGGAGGGACTAGGAGAGCCTTGCTTTATGTTTTGTGCTTTTAAAAGAAAAGTTGATTGTGTATGTCTGTGTGCATGTCACAGCACACTGGAGGTCAGAGGACAGCATGGAGGGGTTGCTTCTCTCTCCACTACGTGGGTTCTGGGGTTTTCAGGCTTGGAGATAAGCACCTACTAAACCATCTTCCTGGCCCAAAATTCACTCTTTCATCATGTACTGTCCAAGCAGGTGTGGTGGTTTATACCTGTAATTCCAGAACTTGAGGCTGAGGCAGGAGGATCATGAGTTTGTGGCTTGCCTGGGCTGCATGGCAAAGCCATGTGTGAAAAGACAAAAATATAAAATAATGAATTGTCCTGGGTATGTTCCTGTTGTGACAGTAAACTTTGATGAAAGTAACTTAAAGGAAAAGGGGCTTATTTTGGCTCACATTTCCTGGGGGATACCACCTGTTATGTTGGGGAAGGCGTGGCAGCAGGAGCAGGTGGCTGGCTGGTCACATTGCAACCACACTTAGGAAGCAGAGAGTAAAGGGGAAGTGGGCCAGGCCATAAAATCCCAAGGCTCACCTCTAGTGACCCACTTCTTCTTGAAAGTCTCCGTCCCCTAGCAGTTCCATAACCTTCTCAAACAGTGCCATCAGCTGGGGACCAAGTGTTCAAACAGGAGTACTGTGCCCACACTCTGCCTTGCCCTTTTCATTTCCAATATTACCCTTTGGTTTGCCAAAGTTTTAAATTTTCAGAAAATTTAATTTATTTTATGTGTATTGGTGTTTTGCCTGCATGGACGGCTGTGCACCACATGTGTGTAGTACCCACAGAGGCCACAAGAGGGTGTCAGATTTCCTGGAACTGGAGTTATACACAGCAAGTTGAGAGGCTGTATGGGTGCAGGGAATTGAACCCGGGTCTTCTGAAGATCAGCCAGCACTCTCAACTGCTGAGCCATCTCTTCAGCAGCCCTGGAAGTTTGAGGTTTAAATGACATACCGAGGTGCGTGCGTGCGTGCGTGCGTGCGTGCGTGTGTGTTTGCCGTGGTGAGGTGCATGTGTGGAGGTCAGAGGACAGCTTGGAGGACTCAGTTTTCTTCTTCCACCATATGAGCTCCAGGGATGGAGTTCAGATTGTAGGCTTAGTGGCAAGCACCCTTATCCCCTGGCCCCCAATTTATTTCTTCTTCGTTACTTGTGCTTTTGGTATCATCCCTGAGAATCCATTGCCAGGTCCAGGCTCATGAAGGGTTTCCTTCTGAGTTTCTATTTTAGTTCATATCTAGATAATTGTTCTGTTTTAAGTTAGTCGTTATGTTTTATATGCACTGCATAAGAAGTCCAGTTATACCCACTCTTTGTGTTTTCCAGTTGTTCTTGTCATTTGCTTAGTTGTTTTTTTTTTTCATTCCTTTAAAAAAAAGATTGATTCTGATGTTGGAATGTAAAATGAAACTTTAAATAAATAAATTAATGAATAAATAAATAAATAAAAAGATTGATTTATTTATGTGTATCTGTGTTTGGGTGCATATGCCCCTGAAAGCCAGAAAGACTTCAGATCTGCAGCTGGAGTTAGAGGTGGTTGTGAGGCAGCCCCTTGGATGGGTGCCCACACTCATGCCTTCCAGAGGAGCATCGAGTAACCTTTACTGATGGCCCATCTTCTGTGGTTCTAACTTTCGGTTCTTTCCAGAAATTCTTTTTTCTTTGGGGTGGGGTGATACTAGTTATTAAACCTAAAGCCTCACACATGCCTGTATATAGTTCCTGCTTCCTTTGGCAACAGTATAGTATTTTGTTGTGTGGCCAGCTATTTGCTGAGCTTTTGGGTGGATCTTCATCTTTTGTGATGCCACTTGGTGCCACAGTGACTTCCTTGGTTTTTGAGCCAGCATTTCTGGATTAGATTCCTAGAAGCAGCATTGGGGTGGGGGTGGGGAGGTCCAGAGGATAAAGTACTTCTCATTTTATCAGATGTGATAAATCCCTCTCTGGGATGGTCCTGTGCCTGTCCCACAGCAGCAAAAATGTCTTTCCTCAAAGCCTGGGTCTCAGAGTAGCTCATTCTCCCTTTTCTCCTGCTCTGTTGTCTTCCTGTTTTCTTCCCTCCCTCCCACCCTCCCACCTTCTTTCCCCTTCCTCTTCCCCCTTCCTTCCTACTTTCCTTATTTCCCTCCCTTCCTCCCTTCCCTCCCTTCCCTCTTCCTCCCCTTCTTTCTCTTCCTCCCCTCCCTCCATTCCCTCTCCCCTCCTCTTCCCCTTCCTCCTTTCCCTTCTTCCCTCCACACTAGTGAAGAGCATCTCTCCATGCTCTTGGGTTCTGAGGTCCTCTGTTGGATGTTGATGCCTCCCCACCACATACATTGGGGAGGAGAGCATGCTCTGTGCACTCTGGATCCCGATCTTTGTTCTGTTTAGCGCTTGCATTTGTGCTGTGCTCTGTTGTGCCTCTGTTGTCTTTCGTTCTTTGGAAATCTAATTTATCAATTTTTTTTTTTTTTACATGGCTTCTGGATTTTGAGTCATAGTTAAAACAGGCCTTCTCTACTTCAAGGTAATAAGGTTCTGGCCATGTCTCCCAGTGCTTGGACTGGGTTTGTCTACTTCCTGATTTCCATGTGTATGTGCATGTTCACGTATGCAGGTGTGTGGAGTGTGCACATGCATGTGTGTACATGTGCTTGTGTGCCTGTGGAGGTCAGAGAACACGCCCAGGTAATGTTCCTCAGTCATGGTCCACCTTGTTTTTTGAGACCAGGTCTCTCATTGGCCTGGGGCTCGATGAGTAGGCTGGGCTCGGCTGGTCAGTGAGCTCTAGTGTCCACATCTTCACACCCCAGCCCTGGGATTGTAAGCATGCACTACTCCTATGTCTGCCTTTTTTTTTTTTAAGGTTTACTTTTATTATTTTTAATTATGTGTCCCTGTGTGTAACTGTGGATATGGGTGCAGGTGCTCATGCAGGCTGGATGCACTGGATCCCCGGAGCTGGAGTCACAGGCAGTTGTGAACAACCCAAGGGTGCTAGGAACTGAACTTGGGTCCTCTAGGCCAGCAGTGTGTACTCTTACTGCTGAGCTATCACTCCAGCCTCTGACTTTTTTGTTGTTTTTAAACGTGGTATGTAGGGATCAAAGTTGGGTCCCCGTGCTTGCCGGTCAGCACTTGACCCCCTAAACATCTCCCAGCCCCCAGCTGATTTAATCTAAGCTTCTGTTTCCTCTCTGTTTATACTTCTGTTCATTATGAATACAGGCTTCTGTGTCTCACCTTTTCCAGTTTGTATTATAATTTTACACTGTATTGACACTAATATCGCCAAGAGTTCTGCTTGGCCCTTGGTGTTCTTATCTGTACATGGGGCCTTAAAAAAAAAAAAAAGTAGAACTCAGAGCTATCAAGAAAGGAAGGGTTACCAAGCAAGGTGGGGCATGCCTACAATTCTAGCATTTGGAAGGTCAGGAGTTCAAGACCAGCCTGAGCTACATAGTGTGACCTTGTCTCAGAAGGAAAAGAGGGAAGGAGGGAGGGAGGAAGAAAGGATTGTTTATATTCTTCAGTGTCTCCTCCAAGATGTAATAACTCTGGGCTCTCAGCCAATACAGAGCTGATTTTAAAGCATTCAGATGTAGAATCAGGGGCCACTGGTACTCCTTAATTCTGACTGTTTTTCCCAGTTTGTAGAAGACTATGAACCCACCAAAGCTGACAGTTACAGAAAGAAGGTGGTCCTTGATGGAGAAGAGGTCCAGATAGACATTCTGGACACAGCCGGCCAGGAGGACTACGCAGCCATCCGAGACAACTACTTCCGAAGTGGAGAGGGCTTTCTGCTTGTGTTCTCCATCACAGAGCATGAGTCCTTCACTGCCACAGCCGAGTTCAGGTGTGCTTGCGGGAGAGCTGGGTTCTGAGGTGCTGAGGCTTCCAGGGACCCGGGGTGGAGCAGAATGAGATGGTTGCCTGTGAAAGAACTCTGCCACAGGATTTTCTTCCACCTCTTTGTGCATCCATATTTTAGGATTTCTAGACATATCTTTAAAAAAAAAAAGATTTATTTATTTATTTTGGTTTTTTTTGAGACAGGGCTTCTGGGTAGCCCTGGCTGGCCTTGAACTCAAAGATCTGCCTCTGCCTCCAGAGTGCTAGGATTAATGGTGTGTGCCCCCATACCCGGCATACTTTTATTTTTATTTATTTTATGTGTATGGATGTTTTGTCTGCATGTAATCTGTGTGCCACATGCATGCCTGATGCCTGTGGAAGCCGGAAGAGGCATCAGATTCCCTGGGACTGGAGTCACAGAAGGTTGTGAGCTGCCATGCAGGTGCTGGGAACTGAATTCAGATCCTCTAGAAGAGCAATCAGTGGCTCTTGACCCCGGAGCAATCTCTTCAACCACTGTGTGAGTGTGTGTGAGTGCATGTGCGCACACGGACATGTGTATTTGCACTACAGGGAGTGTGTAGAGGCCGGGGAAGACTTGAAGTTGTTTTTTCCCACCATGAGAGTTCCAGGGATCGAACTCAGGCAGTCAGACTTGGTGCCCAAGCCCCCTTCCTGACTGAGTCATCTCCATAGCTCCCAGACTCCATGCTTCAATAAGTTCTTCCTTGTCAGATGACCCACCAAAGGTAAAGGGAGTCAGCCAAATGTTTCCCAAGATTTGGAAGCGGCCTCCGAGCCAGGGATGCATTAAGGGCTGAACTCAGCCAATCTAGTTGAGAAGGCAGATGCTAAGATAGGACCTCTGCCTGCGCTTGCAGACTCAGATCTCCAAAGAGCTGAAGGTCCAGGTTTTCTGCAACTGCAGTGTGTGTGGCAGAGACTGATGGACAGAGAGGGTCTCACATGAGAAGTTGCCTCTGTTTGTAGGGTTCTTCATTTTATCACGAAGTTTCTACATGGATAGTACTCTTGCAATCTCAACTGCGTTTCCTCTTCACAATCTGATTTTGAGGCCATTGAGGATAAAACAGGGTACACGCAATACTGTCTTTTTACTCCCCTGTCCCGGTACTGGAATTATTAATCATTTTTGTGAGCTGTTGTTTTGAGTTTGATGGCGTTTTTGTTTTATTTATTTTATGTGCATGGGTTTTTTGCCTGCACGTATTTCTGTGCACTTGTGCATGCAGAACCTGCAGAATCCAGAAGAGGGCATCAGATCCCGGGAACTGGAGTTACAGTTGTGAGCTGCCACATGGGTGCTGGGAGTCAATACCAGGTTGCTCTTAACCACTGAGCCATCTCTCAGGCTCTGGGTTTTTGTTCTGGTAGCATCTCATGTAGACCAGATTACCCTTAAACTTACTGTGTCGCCAAGATGACCCTGAAGTTCTGGTTCCACCGAGTCCTGGGATTACAGGCATGTGCCACCATGACCCATCTACGTAGAGTGCTGGAGATGGAACCGGGCCTCTGTGCATGGAACCGGGCCTCTGTGCATGCAAGGCAAACACCCTGCCTTGGGCCACATCTCCAGTACCTTTTAGTTTGTTTTAATTCCTGAGATTCTCAGAAGGTCCCTTCCCTTCCCTTCCCTCTCCTCTCCCTCTCCACCCTTTTCTTTTTCCACATGAATTGGAACCCTGTTGGGATGCAGACTCCTGGCCTCCTGTGCAGACATCTCTTCTGTAGGAGTGTGGGGTAGAAAAATCTGTATGGCGGAGTGCAGCTGAGGGCCAGCCTGGGAAAGCCCACGCCATTGGAGCCCCATTTTGAGATACTCCCCAAATGGAGCGATTTCTCTTGTTCCTTAGCTGGAGCTTTCTAGATGTGGTTATAAACACCAAGGTGCACTACCAGCTACTTATAAAGCTGAATTCTTATGCTGATGCTAGCTTTAAAACAAGACAAAGACGAAGCAACTTGATGTGTGTGTTTGTGTGTTTGCGCTGACACACATACCGTGGTGCCCATGTAGAGGATGGGGCACAATTGGCAGGAGTTCTTTCTCACCACTCACCTTGTGGCTCCAACTCAAGCCATCAGGCTGCTCGGAGCCCTCTCACCGGCCTCTCTTTAGCTTTCTTAACCACACTGTTCTTGATGCCTCACCATAGGGAACAGATCCTGCGAGTCAAGGCCGAGGAAGATAAAATCCCACTGTTGGTCGTGGGCAACAAGTCTGACCTGGAGGAGCGGAGGCAGGTGCCTGTGGATGAGGCCCGGGGCAAAGCGGAGGAGTGGGGCGTGCAGTATGTGGAGACATCAGCCAAGACCCGTGCCAATGTGGACAAGGTAGCATGGGTTCTGGAGGGTTCTTGAAAACTGGCTTTTGCTGTCTCAAGACACAGCCTTCTTACTTGGTTTAGATTCTGTTTTAAGTGTGTCTGTGTAAGAATAGGCACATGTGAGTGTAGGTGCTCTGAGAGGGAAGAAGAGGTCATAGAATGCCCTGGAATTGAAGTTGCGGGTGGTTGTGAGCTGTCTGATGTGGTTACTGGGAACCAAGTTCAGTTCCTCTGAAAGAATGGTCATGTTCTTAACCACCGAGCCACCTCTCCAGCTGCCCCTGTTCCCCCTCCTCTTTCTTCTCCTCCTCTGCCTCCTCCTCTTTTTTTCTTTGTGACAGGGTCTCATAATACCTCACTCTGGCCTCAAGCTTGGTTATGGAGCCAGGGATGATCTTGAACTGCTGATCCTCCTGTCTCCGTCTCCAAGTGCTGGCACTGTGGGTTTGTGTCACCACAGTGGCTTGCTGTTTTCTGTTTTCTGCCTGGCAAAGTCTCACACTGTATAGCTGAAGAGGACCTTGAACTTCTGACCTTCCAGCCTCCACACCCTGTTTATGCAGTGCTGGGGGTGGAACTCCGGGCTCGACACAGGCATACAGCCACCCTGTGTTTCCCTTTTACATCAGAATTCAAGGTGTTACCACACAGTTGAAGTAAGCACCCCACAGCTGAACTTCTCTCTGTTTTCACGTGCTAAGGTGTGGGCTGTTGCTTCATGTCCCAGTCTTGTGAAATCACTGTGGAGCCATGACAGACATAAGGGCCATGTCTGCACCCAATTGTGCTTAGCCTCAGGACCCTTCTCTACCTCCTCCTCTTCTCAGTTCGCACCAAAGCCCGGCTGCTGCTGTAGGATGTCACTCCCCACCTTGCTCAGTACCGTCCCAGGGAGGGCTGTTTAACCAGCTGGTTCTGGAGGAGGACTGAGTGCTCTCAATGGGACATTAGGAGGGCTTGGCTTTAAGCAGGGCTCAGTGTTGATAGCCCACATCCCTGTAGCCTGAAGGACAGTGTGACTTCTGAGCCATCATCTGCTGCTTTTCGGTTGTCTTAGTTAGCTAATTTATTTATTTCTAAAAGTACATTGATTTCTTTGTGTGTGTGTTTGGGGGAGGGCATGTGTGCAACTGTGCACTCACATGCCACAGCATACATGTGGAGGTCAGAGGTCGACCCTGTGGCTTCTCTCCTTTCATCATGAGGATCCCAGGGAATTCAACTGGAATTGCTAGGCTTGGCAGCAAGTACCTTACCTTATCTTCCCCCCCCCCCCTCTGTCTCTTTCTCTCTCTCTCTCTGCCCAGACTGACCTCCAGCCCTCCATATGGGTGTGGAGCATTACACCTAATTTATGGGGTGTCAGAGTGGAACCTGGGGCTCCGAGTATGCCAAACAGCACTCTTCCAGCTGTTACACCCCACACAAGTTTTCTTTATATTCTTTTTTTTCTTTTGTATTTATTTATTATGTATACAACATTCTGCTTCCATGTATATCTGCACACCAGAAGAGGGCACCAGATCTCATAACAGATGGTTGTGAGCCACCATGTAGTTGCTGGGAATTGAACTCAGGACCTCTGGAAGAGCAGTCAGCAGTCAGTGCTCTTAACCTCTGAGCCATCTCTCTAGCTCCCCTTTCTTTATATTCTTATCTGAACTTCCTTTGCTTCCTGTGATGCTCAGACTTTTGTTTCCCACCCCCATCAGTTTCCTAGCTGAGGGAAACCCAGGAACACCCAGCTGGCCTCTGCCTCCCACACTGTTTATCTTTTAAAACCCAAGCAGGCTGTCTGATCATGGCAGCATAGGCCTTTGATCCCAGCACTCAGAAGGCAGAGGCAGGTGGATCTCTGTGAGTTCAAGACCAGTCTGACCCACATAAGGAGACCTTGTCTAAAGAATAGCAACAAAACAAAACAGAAAGACTTTCTCAGCATGATAATGCTGATGTTGCTTTGGAGGGGATGAGAATTGAGTCTGGCGTCTCTTGTGGTGGGTGGTGTTTGTTACCCATCCTCTCTTCTCCTCTCTTGGACAAGCTTTCACCAGCAGGAACTTCTAACAGGTAGGCAGTGCTGTTTTCTTCAGTAAACACTTCCCTACAGAAAGGCCCCTGATAAGCCCAGCGCAGGAACAGTGCAGGCGCCATTTTCATTTGAATGCAGCCGTATATCACCCCTGCCTTTTAGCACAAAAAGTCTGAAACAGAGTCTGTCACTTTGACTCTATGGCTGTGGCTAGCAAAAGGGGTGTAGAGGTCAGCCGGACACTTGGGGTTCCCTTCCCTGTGCCTGGGGCTCAGGGTAACCTCCTGTGGAGTGCCACACCAGAAGAGCAATCTTATTTTCTTTGAAGCAGTAATTCACGTAGCCCAGGATGGCCTCAAATTTATTACTTAGTCAGGGATGACCTTGATTTTGAGCTGTTCCAGATCTGTGGGATCACACATGACTTGTCTTTTTCTTTTTTTCTTGTTTTTTAAAAGTTTCTTCATTTTAAAAACAACAACAACAATAAAACCACAGGGTTTCATCTACTATAGGCTAGCCTCCAGCTCAGTATGTAGCGGAGAAGGACTTGAACTTCTGGTCCTCCTTCCTCTGCCTCCTGAGTGCTAGGATTACTGGTGTGTACCACCATGCCTGGTTTGTGCGCTGCTGGGAATGGCTTCCAGGTCTTGTGCATGCCAGGCAGGTGCTCTGCCAACTGAGCCGCATCCCCAGCCCTCAGACTTGCCTTTCACCTTGGTCTGTGTCTGAAAATTAGATCTTGGAGCTGGTGGAGATAAAGCCTGTGTTCCTTGTCACGAGTCCAGTTTCTGTGGGGAATCTCCAGTGTGTGTCTTTGCAGGGGCTTATTTTGTCTGCTAGAGAGTAATCAGTCCTTTGGTGATTGTTGGTAGCAGAGGGCAAAACCCAAACCTCATTGATAAATGATAGTGCCTGTCTAGATAACACACAGCGGCTCATCTTTCTTGATAAAATCCCTCTTGGCAATGGAGTGGGGTTGAGGCTGAAGGGGTGGGGAGGGGGCTGGGAGGTGGGGGCTGAGTGTAGCTCTCCACTGCAGGAACCTGCCTTCCTACTCTCCATTCCTTGCTTTCCCAGATTTGCTCCTGGTGGCTTTTAAGTAGCGTTGTGTGTATGTGTGTGTGTGTGTGTGGGGGTATTACTTACAATGGCACTCTAGCCCTTGTAGTCAAATAAGGTGTGGTGCCATGGAACAAAGCAGAGGCTCACCTTTGTTTTTGCCTGTGTGTGTACTCATTCATACCGTCACATATGTGTGGAGTTGGAGGACAACTTGTGGGAACCAGTTCCTTCCTTTACCGTGTGTGTCTCAAATATTGAACTCAGATCATCATGTTTGGTGGCAAGGGACTCTACCTAATGAGCCATCTCACCTGCCTGTTAGCCTTTTGGAAATGGGAAGTGTAGACTCATGGGTGCCCACTGCCCTCCAAATGTTTGAGTTTCACACATTCTAGAACTGTTCTCTGCAAAAGCTTACTTTAACCTTATGTTGTTATGATCTGATGGGCAGTGACAGGCTCACCCTGTCCATGTTGACAGCTGTGTGGAATTGCAGAGCTCCTAACTTGGGAGAAGGAGGGCCCTTTCACTAAAGTAGATTCTTGCTGCTGTAGCTGCCTTGTTTATTGTTTATTATTGAAACCTTGTTTTCAATGGGCCGGGCTCATAAAAGTAAGCAGGGGGCTGGGGATGGACTCAGCAGATAGACTGTTGCCCTGGAGTTCCATCGCCAATGTCACGTGACCCAGCCCAGGGAAAACCAGGAGCTCCTGGTCAAATGGAGGTCAGCTTGGGGCTACAGGAGCCCCTGCCTCGAATGAATGAATGAATGAATGAATGAATGAATGAATGAATGAATGAATGCACTTTTGGGCTTTATGCCATAAAATCTAAGTGCATTTCCTGCCAATTGAGCCGCTTGTCAGTGACTAAATGGCTTTCCCTCTTCATTCTTTTCTGCCTTCCTCCCCACTGCCAGGTGTTCTTTGATCTGATGAGAGAAATCCGAGCAAAGAAGATGTCGGAAAACAAGGACAAGAATGGCAGGAAGAGCAGCAAGAGCAAGAAGAGCTTCAAAGAGCGTTGCTGCTTGCTGTGAGCTGGGCGATCAGAGCATCAGAGCGCAGAGTTGGCCGAGCTGCAGAACGTGAGGCCAGAGGTGGCCTCCAGTCTGGCTTCGCTCTCCACAGCCACACTCACTGTCACTCCTTTAAATGGGACCGATATCTGTGCATCGGTGGCTGGCAGAAGAAAAACACCTTTGTGCAGTAGATCTGTTAACTTTGGCAGGAGCTTTGAGAATCTGCCCCCCTTCCCACCCTCCCTGAATCGTGACAGCCACCAGCTCTAGGGACCTGTGCTGGAGATCCCAAACAACTGAGTTGGGATGATAAGAAAAGTATTGTCATTAGCATCTTATTCTCCCTAGTTTTAGACATAACCATCTTTTGTTTGAAAATTAAAATGCCTTATTTTAGCTGGGCATGGTGGTCCCAGCACTTTGGAGAGTAAGGCAGGAAGGGTAGCCCCAGTTCAAGGCCAGGCTGGGCTACCTAGCAAGACCCAGTCTCTAAAAGAAAAAAATTAATGTCTTATTTTCTTAGTTTTAGAAAAGGGTCTCTGGTAAGACCCCTTGCCAGTTCTTATCAGTTCAGAAGTACACAGAGAAATCTAAGCTCTGGTAATAGTGAAAACACAGCCGTGGAAGCAGAGCTAGAAAGGTGAGTTTCACTTGGGCCAGGGATGCTGAAAAGCCTCCTGGCATCTGGAGTGAAAGTGGGATGTTGTTCTCTTCTTATTTAAATGCCAGCCAGGTGCTGGCTGTGGGCTTTCTCTCCTCAGCACTCTATTTAGTGAGGGAACTTTCTTTGGGGGAGATGCAGGCCTGTGCTCCATAGTGGGCTTGCTTTTTCTGGCTAGGTCATTTTCATATCTTCTGTCCCCTCCCACACCAGCCATATCACTGGTCCCTCTCCACTCCTCGCCCAACAGTCCTACTCTTTTATTCCCTTTTCTTTCTTCTGAGAGATGTGACCAGTTCGAATTATGTCCCGGAACATAAAGCCAGTGCCAGCACCAGCCGGTCTGCTTCCTCTACAGACACCAGGTAACTCCCAATTTACAAGTAGAATGGCCATAGCCTGTACCTCCCTGGCAGCTGGCTGGTTCTGGTGGCACTGAGATGAACCCACTCTCTCGTCATGGGGAAGGGGACACTGGGACAGCAGGCTGCCACTGAGCACACACATTCCTCCCATTTTTCAGAAGTGAATGTTTCATGTTTAGGTGCCGAATGTGAATTTGGGTGGGGAGAGCAGGAGCCCTTCGCATAGATGGTTTTACAGAGGTTGTGGGAACTGAGATCTGATCCCTCGAAACTGATCTTGTGTCACTTCCAAAGAATCATGGGCTTTTTTGAATAATAAAAAAAAAAAAGCAAAATATGCTTTTCAGGATTTCCCGATTTTGCCTGCGTGCCACCACATGGAATGCTTTCATGGAAAGAAATTAGCAGGTAGAGTTATTTTTAGCTGATGTGCCTTGGTATCAGACAAACATTACTTCAGTGAATCCCATGGGCTGGGAAACACAACTATAAATATAAACAATAATTGTAACTTCATCTCTCTTTTGGGAGGCATCTCCATCCTCCTTAAAATATAAAACCTTGAAGATAATTACACTTGAGTGCTAACAGGAAGCCCTGTCAGTTAAAGATTTCGCTGACATAAAAACATGCACATGAGGCTGGAGAGATGGATCAGCAGTTAAGATTACCCAGTGCTCTTCCAGGGGACCAAGGTTCAATTCCCAGCACCCACATGTTAGCTCACAACTATAACTCCTGTTCCAGGAGGTCTAACACAGACAAACATGCAGGCAAAATGCCAGTTCATATAAAATAAGAATGAATAGATAAATTTAAAAAAATTAAGAGCACATGCTACAAAATCATGAGGGCCTAGGTTTGAATCCCCACACAGATATAAAAAAGCCAGGTGTGGCTTTGTGCAGGTCTGTAACCACAGTGCCATGGGAGTGGAGACAGGAGGCTCGCTGGGGCTTGCTGGTGGTTGCCAGCCAGTCTCCAGGTCCAGTGGAGACCCTGTTTCAAAGGAATGAGATGGGGAATGATAGAGCAAGATACCCTACTTCTTCCTTGTAAACACAGTTACACACACATACCACAAACCTGTTCTACACATAGACACATGTAAAACATCAAAGATAACGCTGCCTATTAAATGAACCCATGTTGGTTTCACTGACATAAATGTACTTATTAAGCTAGATGAATTGTGGTATGTAAATTCACTTCATTTGTGTGATATGTGTACATGATAGGTGTGTGTGTGTGTACAAGTGCCACAGTGTACACGTGGAGGTCAAAGGACAGACACTTTGTGGAGTTGGTTCTCTCCTTCCACCTTTACATGGGTTCCAGGGATCAAACTTGAGCCATCGGGCTTGTTTGGCAAGCACTCTTACATACTGAACCATCTCATTGGCCAAAACCAAATTAAATTCAGGTAGCAGGATGGCTCTGACAAGGAGCTTGCCACCAAACCTGACAGCCTGAGTTCAGTCTCTGCCATCTACATGCGTGAAGGACTCTCTACACAGGTGCTGTGGCATGCATGTGCTCATACATAGATACTCACACTAAATAAGTAAAGGTAAATAAAATTTAAATGAATAGATGTAAGTGAAATGACGATCATTTAGCCGGGCGTTGTTGGTGCACGCCTTTAATCCCAGCACTCAGGAGGCAGAGGCAGAGGCAGGCGGATCTCTGTGAGTTCGAAGCCAGCCTGGTCTCCAGAGCGAGTGCCAGGATAGGCTCCAAAGCTACACAGAGAAACCCTGCCTCAAATAAATAAATAAATAAACAAACAAACAAACAAACACAGTTCTTGTGCTGATATAGGAGCCTGATAGCACGTAGCCTCTATGTAACTGACACTTGCCACACAAGCCCGATGCCCTGAGTTCTGTTTCTGGAATCCATGTGGAAGGAGAACAGATTCCTGAAGTTGTTCTCTGTTGTAGTCATGTGTACGCACACTAGTAAGTTTTAAAATTTATTTTTGTGTATGTACATGGGTTATATGCACATGAGTGCAGGTGCCTGCAGTGGCCAGAAGAGGGTGCTGGATCTTCTGGAGTTACTGGTGGTTGTCAGCCACCTTATGTGGGTGCTGGGAATCAAACTCTGGTCTTGTGGAAGAGCAGCAAGGGCTTCTAACTGATGAGCCCCAAATAAATAATATTATACATGTTAACTGTGGGAAATACTAGTACGCTAGTAGTAGCAAACCTGGTTTTTATTTCTTTAATTATGCTTATATTTTTTTATTCTCTGTGTGTGTGCTCATAGGCATGCATTCATGTCTCACAGCACCTGTACAGAGGTCAAAGGACAACTGATGGGAGCCAATTCTCTGCCACCACGTGGGCCCCAGGATGGAATCGGGTCATCAGGTTTGGTGGCAAATGCCTCTACCTACTGAACCATCTTGCTGACCCCAAACTCTGATATTTGTGATTGTAAACTCATCAGAATCATAGCTGTGCTTACTTTGCTGACAGTCTAGAAGTGCCAGGACAGCAGCCTTGTGACCTTGTTCCTCCTGTGCCAGCGCTGTTCCCAGTGCACGGTCTGGTACTCTGGTATTTCTGAGTAACAGTCCTAGGCCACTGTTTCTTGATTTCACCCTCGACTCAGGTGGTGAGGACAACAGGGATAGTGTGAGCGCATGCCTTTGTGCGTGCTTGCCTCTGTATGTGCTTGCTTGCCTGTGAATGTGTATGCTTGCGTGTGCATGTGTGCATACTTGCCTGTGTGTGTGTGTGTGTGTGTGTGTGTGTGTGTGTGTGTGTGAGAGAGAGAGAGATTAGATGCCTCCTGCCCAATGTTAAAGCTTTGAAAGCTTGATCTTACTTTTGATTTGTTTCTGTTTTTCTTTTTTTTTGTCCTTGATTCTTTTTTCTTTCTTTCCTTCCTCCCTCCCTCCCTCCCTCCCTCCCTCCCTCCCCTTCCTTTCTCCCTCCCTCCCTCCCTCCCTCTTTCCCTTTCTTTCTTTCTTTCTTTCTTTCTTTCTTTCTTTCTTTCTTTCTTTCTTTCTTTCATGTGCATTGGTGTTTTGCTTTGGGTGTTGGGTCCTCTGGAACTGGAATTACAGGACGTTGTGAGGGACTCTGATTCTTTTTTAGTCTATGGGTTTGCTCAGGTATCCAGTGGTCTCCAGTGGGCAGCCGTGCTCTCAGAGGGGAAGAGAGCTGCCTAGGAGCTCAGTGAACCTGAGTGGGCCTTTCAAGACACTGCAGTGACTGAGTAAAACTCCAACCCTGTTGCTGAATACCCCTAAGGCCTAGATACTTTCTATAAAGGAAGAGAGGCAGCAGTCTGTTGCCTGTGGTGGTTGGCCCATTTCCCAAACAGACCCTGTGAGCCTCCATCTTCAGGCCTGCTCCTCTCTTCAGCTCTGTCATTCAGCAGCTCAGCCCTGCGCCACCATCTCTTCTGCCCTCTCTCTGCCTTTCTTTCGGATTTCAGCAGTGTGCTCATCACACATCAGCTAGTTGTCCTCCACACTCCTCCCCACGCTCCTCTCCGTATTCCCGTTTCACTGACCTATCCCTTGACTATCCCATACATACTCATAATGTACTCTGCTTATTCTCTCACCTGACCCTTGTCGCTCTCATCCCAGTTAACCCCCACTCCTCCCCACCTGTCCTTTGCTCAGATTCAGGATTTTGGCTTTGTTTTGTGGCCCATTGTGACCGTCTGTGTGAGCACTGGATTGGAACTACCTATTAGAGCCTGGTGGGGTCACCAGTGGATACACAACTGAAGGCAAAGACTCCCCTCCCTGCAGCTATAGTAACAAATATTTGGGTGGTAAAGGTGGGATTAAAGGTGTGTGCCTGACTCTTGACAGCCCATCCTTGTGTCACCCTGCACAGGCAGAAGCAACAGCAGTCTTGACTTCCAGATTGCAACGTCTGTGTCTTAGCCAGAAGATGGTATTTCAGAGCCCCTTTCCATACTTCCTGCTCTCACATTCTTCTAGCCTCACTTCCCATGATCCCCCAAGTGTTAGAAGGGCATCGTGTATGTATGTATATGTAAATATATACACATGTATACATGTAACACACACACACACACACACACACACACACACACACATATATATATATATATAGTCTTATTAGGGCTCAGCATGCCTCTGCTATTTAGTCTCATCTGCTTTTGAATGTTTAGTTGAAGATATATCCGTGCTCAGCCTTCCCTTTTATTCAGGTTTCATTTTTCCAGATACTGTCCCTTGGCAGATGCAAGTGGAGGGACCCATTGACTAGGCCCCCAGGCATGCTTCTGTTAACCAAGGCACCATGGCAACCCTTTGCAGTTGTCTCGATACCGACTTCAAGTGAGGCTGTCTTGGGGTCCCTGTGTTCCTTTGTCCCTTCTTTCCATCTTTTCCTGCAAGGTGATGAGTTGATTAGCTAGCTGCAGTATCTGCTTGTGATCTCTCCTCTGAGATGGCCTCATATATAGCCCAGGCTGGTCTCAAACTCAGAGAATTGCCTGCCCTTGTCTCCTGAGGATTGGGAATAAAGGCATGCGACACCATGCCTGACTGGCTTCAAATCCTATAAGTGGCTGAAGCTGACTTGAATTCCTGATCCTCCTGCCTCCACCACCCAGGTGCAACAAGTACGATGTGCACTGTTGTGCTGGGGTTATACGGTGCTGGGAGCCAGGGCCTCCCACATAGTAGGCAAGCACTCTGCCACATTCCCATCTGGCCAAGTAATTCTTACGTATTTTCAGTACTTGCAGCTAGAAATGCTTTCCTAAAACCCGATTTACTCAGATGAAATAAACAAAGCAGAACATTATCATTTAAAACAGTACAAACATCTCAGACTGCTACTTCCCTTTAACTGATGAAACCTTGGTTTGGGTGGGAATTTGGAGATGGGATGACCTCTTGGCCCACGGTGCACCTTCACTTTTGCATAAATGCAAACACAAGAGGGTGGCAGGTGAGTGTGGGGGATGCTGGGGCCTGGACTGCATCTAGCTGCAGGGATTCACAGTGGAGTGTCTTCGTGTCCCAGGATGCTAGCCACGACTGCTATGAAACTTGATTCCAGCTGTATTGGTTACTTTTGTCCTGTAATCAAATACCCAATGAAAGCAGCTTAAGGGAGGAAGGGCTGGTTTAGCTTATGGTTGGAGGGTGCACAGTCCAACATGGTGAGAAGGCATGGCAGCAGGAGCGGAGGCAGTTGCTCACACTGCATCCACAGTCAGGCAGCAGAGACGGATGCTGATGGGTGTTCCCAACTCAATAACCCATCAGACAAACCCCTTACACATGTGCCCGGAGGTCTATTTCCATGATGATTTTAAATTCCACCGGATTGACAACCAAGAGTAATTATGCCAGCAATCCCTCCAAATTTCATGGGCATCCTGTACTATGCAGATCAGTTCCTCTATTGGAAAAACTAAATTGAGGGCTAGGCAGATGACACAGCAGGTAAAGGACTTGCTCTGCAAGTGTGAGGACCCGAGTTCGAATCCTGAGCACTCATTAAAAAACAACAACAACAACAAAAAAAAAAAACAGCATGGCTATGACTATAACTACAGCATGGGGGGTTGTGGGGTTGGGGTGGAAATAGGAGGATCCAAGAGCCTGTGGGCCAGCCAGCCTAGCTGGAATAGTGATCCTCTGGTTGAGCCAGGGGCCTTGATAAGAGTAAGGCAGATAACAACAGATGATATCCAGCATTGTCCTCTGGCGTATGTGTGCTCAGCAGAAAAACCTGCACACCTGCATGCATGCAACACACACACAAGCACAGACATATACATACACATATACACACACACATATAAACATACATATACATAATACACAATATACAAACACATACACACACACTTAATAGAACCAAATTTTTATTTTATTTTTGTGCTTTGTAGGTAGGGAACTCACTTTGTAGACCAGGCTAGCCTTGAACTTACAGAATTCCACCTGCCCTTGCCTCCTGAGTGCTGAGATTGAAGGTGTGCTCCACTATGACTGGCTTAATTATTTTTTTAAGAAAGAAAATATTGCTTTTGATATGTGCTTAAATCTTTTTCCCCTTCTAGAGACACTTGAATTGACATAGCTAAAGAAAATAGTAACGTTTTTCCTTTTTGCCTTCCGTGAGTAAACACAATTGCTTCCTAGGACACAGGAGGAGGGCCTCATGTCTAGAAA